TGCTGGTGAAACGTTAGGAAACAAAACTTCCAGAACACGGCCACACAGCCCGGAAGACCCACACCAGCCATCTACTGACAATAACTTTGTTAAAATCTGTTCTGAAAGTATTTCCTCATGTAATATAGAATTTATTTCTGAAATTCGCTACCAAAAGAAATAACAAAGGTTGTAGTTAGGTGGCTTTTAAGAAGGAACAAATTTATGGAAATGAGGCCTGTCAATATGTTCTAAACCTCTGAGGAACTAGAACTATGGACTTAAAGAGAGAATGTTGCATAAGGAGGGAACTAGTAAGAATGGTCTTGCTCTATGTAGAAGTTAACAAAAGGTGAATATCTCAAGAATAGATGAGATATATTAGGGAGAATACATTTTTTGAAGAGGGTTATATCTCACTGGCTGGCCAAATGCTTTACATGCAGAAATATTTAGTTTCAAATATAGCAGCTCCAGATAGGCCTGGAAGATCTCCTCCTTGACATATGGGAGAAGTATTGCCAATCAGGAAAAAACAGGAATAAGCTTAAGGGTTGAGGTTGATGAGGCAGGAACTAGAAATTCCTACAATACAGAGTGTGTGTGTGTGTGTGTGTGTATGTGTGTTTGTACAAATAAAAATAACAAAACCTGACTTCAAGACCACCAAGCCCTATACCCAGTATTTGTTAATTCAGAAGAGAGGGACAAAAGCACATATTGCTATGAGCAAATAACTGTTCTATGAATGACTTCATGCTCACCAGCAGTAAGGATTCTAATCTAGTTGAGCCATGTCTAAACCTTCTGTCAAGTTCAGCAAAGAAGTTAAGCTAAGGGTAAGGTATCAGGATATTGGTGATTTACTGCTAAGCCCAGGTGTGAAATTTGACAGTGGGAAGCTTTTAGATAGACAGTAGCTGGATGTTTTGCCATGTACTGTTTTGAGTAGCCAAGACATGCACATTTTGGGGAGTTTGGACTAGGACTAGGTGGATCAGTGGTATGACTAAGCTTCTTATCTTCCCCAGTCCTATACTATTTATGGCCTTTGGAGGTCAGTATCAACATCCTGAATCTGGCTAGAAAATTATATGGAAGTTGATCAGATTCTCTTGGCACTGAACCATTACCAACCAATATCTATCCTCTGCAATTCTTGATGAAGTGAATTTTCTTAATTACTTGATGGGAAACAATAAACACATGTTTATGGTTGTGTTATATATCTACAGTATTATACATGTTAATATGAGTACAATCTTCACTTCTGGGGAGAACATAATCTGATGTTATAATGTATTAAGCATGCTTTACTGTGTTGTTTGGGGCATGTTTCTTATTGCTACAGAAATAAAAATGTGGGAGGAAATGTGCTGGAGGCCATACCACATACTTAAGACAACAGCCTAGAAGTGGGTGAATTGAAGAAGAATCCAATTTATCAGATTCAGTAAATGCAGGACTATTCTCTGATCAAATTACTAGAGACATCCTTTTCCTGGAGACATTCTGTGAAAGCTTGGCACTCATTCTTCTTTAACCAGGATACGACAGCTGTTCTTACTCACCAATGTCAGAGGATATTGCTTGGCTCTCTTCACTCTCTGATGAGCTTAAGTTGGGAATCACCTCTTTCTGAGCTGGATACATCCCACTAATAACTCGTGCCATTACCTCTTGCTCTACCCTAATGGAATAACAATGTGCATATTTTATCTATCTACAATTAAACTGTTCAGCATCCTGAATACAAACAGCTAAGTTAAGTAGTGTTAGTTCATGGGCTTATTATTTTCTTATATAACTAATTCCTTTTTTTTGCCTTTCAAACTCTTCACTGTCAATCTTTCTTTCTGCTTTTATCTATCTAACTATCTGCCACCTTAACTCTTCATTCTCTATCAGTGCTGCCCAAAGTACTCTCTCCAATGAGTACCTTCATCCTCTTATTGTCACTGATGATGAAATGTATCCTGAGATACTTGCCTGGCTATGTGAATCGACTACACAACATGAACAAATAAGCATTACAAAGCATGAATGGGGTTGGAACACAGATGATCACCATTTCATAGTCATTGAGGACTCACCAACTAACCAATTTGTTTTCCAAGGTCTCTCGTTTTTCTATTATCTCATCAAGAATATCGGCTGAAAGCTGGGGTGCAGGAGCCACTGGTGGAAATGGGGGTCCATTATATTTTGGAGATCCAATGTCTCCTTGTCTGTTAAACTGTAGGAATGGTTCAGAGAATTCTGAGATCCCATCATCATCTCCTTCTTCCTGATGGCAACAAAGACTGGTCCAATACAACACAGCCAAGCAATATTCAGCATACATTCGCAGTAATCATTGCCTTTGAGGTTCAATGTATTCTATTTACCAAGATAATAGAGTTAATATGAAAGACCTGGGCTGAGGAAAGCAGCAGAGCTTATTCAGATTTTAGATACTCTAGGGCCACATCCTGAATGATTAGTACTAGAGCTTGATCTGGGCAGATGGAGGCATCAGAGCAATAGATAGAATTTTGAGTTATTTAATGCTCATATTGAGAGGCAGAGAGCCTAAAAACTAGGGAGTTGTTTGATAACTTGTTTGTTTTGGTGATGCCATACTCCTTTACTGATGTGATGGCACCCCAGATACCTATAAGTGAAGTGGCATGGGTCATCATAGTAGGCAGGATACAAATTACACTACAAAACAATTAAGTAGCAGTGGGGACAAATGAAGTTAAGACCAGTGAAAGAACAAAAACAGCACTAAGAAGCATCAACAAGAATGCATTAAGCAACTAGGAGAAGACAATATATCTTTTGGTCATATGTTCTTTTTAACATGAAGTGATTGTGTTGTTAAACATTTTATAGACATTTCTATGCCTGTGCTTTCAAAAACCTGTTAAGAGAATGTTCCTTAATGCCTTAAGTATTTCTGCATTTTCAAATATCAGTAAGTAGACTTTTAGATTAAAGCTAACTCTTGCATATCATCCAGCTTGTAAATTTATGGAAATACAACCCAAACATGTGCTCAAGTTGGAATGATTTTGAAAGCTTTGTAGTTATAGCCAAATATATGATAAAAGTAATCCCCAAAGAAATGGGCAAAAGGCAGGATTGGGGGGAAAAATCTTTCACATCTCATAAACTGTTGTTTTTTGTGTATTTTATTGCTATTTCATAAGCTGCTTTTTTGCATAAGCTGATGTTAAATCACTAAGTAAAGGCTTCCTTTAAGTAAACAGGATTTTCACTAGAGGTAAATTATTGCTTCATATGAAAGTATGGGAAATATTACCATTTTTTCTGAAATAAAAGGTAACCACACTGCAAATTTAAAACAATTTTATATACTTTAAAAAACATTGGCTATTGTTTGAAAAATATTGTCATGTCAGTAAAAATGCAATTTGAGATGATCTGATTTGGGTTTATTTATTAATTAATACCAGGATTATATAGACATTTTCAATATTAGATAATACAGAACCACTTCTGAAAGTGTACAGACAGTGGCTGTCTATGATACTTTTAAGTTTTCTCTGCAACAATTTTAACAGCAAACCTTTCAAGAATGAAGTCGAAGAGGGAGGAGACTGGCCCTGTGGCGGTGCTATTGCTTCAAAATCTTGTAGATAATGGAACTTTGATAGCACAATGCAATGTAAATGATTATTCAATTTATAAGTGGCCATTTTCCTTTATTTTTTTTTAATGAAACAGACTTTTTCTTTTCTTACAGTGGGGCAAAAAAGTATTTAGTCAGCCACCAATTGTGCAAGTTCTCCCACTTAAAAAGATGAGAGAGGCC